TACATTATTTTTTTGCTATATTTTAATAATATTGGTAATAATTTTATAGTAATTTGACTATTTAACCCATTCCTTTTTCGCCCAGTGCAGCTGCAATGTCTGAGATGCGTCTGCGCCGGCGCAGCAGTCGGCCAATAAATTGTGACGCTAATGTAAAGTGTGGCAAGCCATTAGTAGAACGAACGGCAGCTCAGTCAGGATCGGGTTGTTGAACCCCCGGGACAGCTGACGGGTCTGGATTCTGGAAGCGGGATCTTGGGATGGAGCTATCTGTGTGGGAAGAGAGGAGAGATCTGGGAACTGGCAGCCCCAACGGCCACGCCCTGAATCGACTGCCTCTGTACCTGCCCACTAAGTTGGCATTTTTATGGCATCCGCCGCGAAAAGATTTCACTTCCAGCGGAAAACGGAAGCGGCCAGTTGGGTTGCGCTGGACGGATCGGGTTGGGGCCAATTCAAATCAACTCCCCAGCGGAGACAACTTCCTCAATGATGGATATATAGTTAGGCATACCCTAGCAAGGGTATGATGTATACATAAAGCCATTTGTCATTCATCAAATTTGTAAATATTTGAAATTATATGAAATTATTTCACATATATTTAAATAGCGTTGTTTAATTTGCCATTTTGGTAAACAGTTTAAACATAACTATTTTCTGGTTGGACTATGATAATTTAATATATGTAATTTCTAACCAGTAATATAATAAAACGAAAAGTACGAACTTTTGAGGTAATACAAAATTAAGCCGAGTTGTTTAAATTTCTGATTAAACTAAATGTTAAATTAATGCTTGAACCTAATGGTGATCTTTAAGGTTTGAATGGTTAAAAGAATACTTATAAATTCAAAAGAATATTCACTATTTAATTATAATTAAAAATAACAATGTTAAATCTAAGAGTATTTAAAAATTCGTCAACAAAGGAGAGTTTTCCTTTCTGGTTTTTTTTTGTAGGCGAGTTGGACTCTCGTTTGTGGTTTCGATTTAATAGATTAATTAGAGGCCACACCGGACCAGCGGCCGCCCAGTGATCAAGCAAAAGTAGTTGTCGCCGTCGGACTTCCGTCAAAGAGAAAAAAGCAAGCAATTGTCACAGCAGCAACAGCAATTTTATCACGTTAAAGTTTATAAAGTGCAGAAATCGCAGAGGTCTTCGCCTTTTTGCGGTGGCTGTCCAAATTTTTTTGCTCCCGACCTCGACTTTAACCTCATCCTCAGATGCAGAAAACCACAAGGCACTTGATGCCAAGCGATGGCGGCGCTGGTGGCGATGCCGCATTTCACTTGGAGGAGGAAAAGCTGCAGGAAAAGCGGGTGGGAAGGCCAGAGAGGAGCGGGGGGGAGGACACAACGAGGACAGAACGTGGTTAGCAAATTTATTATGTAAACGGAAATACGGCATATCCTTGCCCAGGCAATGTCGGCGCCGCAGCAATAGAAATAGTTTCCAGCCCGCTGGCAAAAAAGCAGGACAAAGGACTCCCGAATCGCAAGTGATGCCATAGGGTTATTTAAAAAAAAATGTAAAAACTGAAATTGGATTACAAAATTATATAAATTAATAAACTGGCACCTGTATATTACGAGTGACTATCAAAATAAAAAAATGGAAGACTTCATTTTAGTATCCATGATTTAAATACTATTTTCTTTTTACTTAATTATAAATTTATAAATTCTTTATAAAATAAAATACATTTTTTTAAAGGTTTAAGTTATTGAGTTATTGATAATATCAAATCGAATCAATAAAAAAACTTAAAACTCGGTAGAAAAATAGGAATTATAATATTTGAAAAATCAAGTAAGATAAGTGTATATATTTAAAATTCTTCTAAGTTTAAGATTTCCTTGTAACTGGTAAGTGCGAGATCGCAATTTGTAAAATCATTTTAGGTAGAACCAGGTAGAATATGACATTAATTTTTGTATTTTTATAATGTTAATATAGGAATGTATTTTACGTAAGGCTATTTAAGCATCACTGAATGGAAGAAGCCAAAGGAGCCTGCTCGTAAATCGCATAAATTGTATAATTCTGGGCACTCCATTGCTGTTGTTCTTGTTGAATGTTTGTTGTTTTGTTGTTTTGTTGTGTTGTCTGTTTGGTGCATTTTGTTGCCAAATTGCGTTTGTAGGTGACTCCATGTCCTTTATCTCCGCCCATCTCCTCCGGAGTTCAAATGAAACAATATGCTGCCAAGGAAAAGGGGGCGGCCAAAGTTGCCCAGCCCGATGACAGGGGCGTGGCATTAGTGGGATTAGTGAATTAACGACAGATTGCGACACCTGCGCCAGGAGTCAGCAAGTTTGGAAAGTCCCTTCGGATTGAATCCCATTTGCCGGCTCAATTAACAGTAACTTAAGGGAATCGGGTTCATTTAAATTCATGAAGTTTCCTTGCCACGTGGTCAGGAGTTTTCCCTGGAAAAAGGGGAAAAAATGGGAGAAGAAAAAAGGCACAAACGACAATGACAGTAGACAGGACGAACGAGCGTTGACCACAACAGCCGCAGGACAAGGTTCAACAAAAAAGAATTAGAGAGTCAGGAAAAGGAAAACAATTTTATGGAGGAGAAGCACGAAAAAATAGTGAACTGGCAAAACAAAAAATAAATGAAGGCAGGATGAAAATAAGTGCAATTTGATTTGGTCTATGGATTTTGGAGCTAGATTTAGAAGAAGCTTCATTTGCACAAAAAGTGTCCGTTCGTTTTAAGGTACCCATAACCAAAATGAAACTAATATATTTTTCAAAAGGAGAATTTCGTAGGGCTAATAACAATTTCATATAAAATCCTTTTTTTATTCGTAAGCCTTCAATATCAGTGTACGACATTGGCCTTTTACTCTGGACTAATTCATATTTTAAAGCTTTTTTTTTACAAATCCTTTTGTAAGTCACTTGAATATCAAACATATTTTAGACTTATTAAATAGCTGACATCCTTTCACAACATAAACATAAACAAATGCTATAAAAAAGGATCAAGCAAACAATTCAAAAATCAAGTAAATTTTACAATTTTCATATTTCTTAACTTAACTTAGAAATCACTCAATAAATTAAAATTTTTAAATACTCCTGAAAGCCAGAAAATATAAATAAATACTGTTTTAACTTAAAAGCTTTAAACATTAAATGATGATGTTTCAACTTAATTAAAAGACATTCCCTAGGGAACTCGTTCAGTTTTATGGGTCCAACTTAAATAAATGTTTCCTTATTGGATAATATATTTACGGAATTCTTGTTTAGCTTAGCTTTATTTTATTTTATATCACCTCTGTGCAATCCCAACGTTTACGTGATATTTCCTAGTGGAATTTCTCTTCCTTAAAATCGTAATTTTTATTCCCATCTCAATTTGGGGTTCCCTGCTCCATTACCATCTCCTCCTGTCCACATTTGATTTCATTGCTCTCTATCTGGTTGAGGTCACACGGACGCATCAAATAGGCAAAGTTTTTTGGTAGCCAGAACGACGCCTCTTGCCAAATTTATGACATTGAATTTATGTGCAGCAAGGCGTGCCGCCTCTCCATCCGAAAAGTGGGCGGGGCGGGAAAAGCGGAAAAGGACACCGATCGATTTGGCAGAATTAACAACTAAACAAGTGTCGCACAATTCAGAGAATGAAAAAGATGCCCAAGAAGCCCATGAAAAAAGCGCGTTAAACTGCTTAACACTTCTGCATGGTCACCCAAAAGAAAATGGAAATGAAAATGGAAACTGTTGCCATAACTCATACGACGAGCGGCCGGGGAAAATTGTCTAAGAAAAGCCAAAAAAGGAAATGGCAAATGCATTAAGAAATAAGCAATTTGCTTCTGCAGCAAGCAGCAAAAAGAGTCAGGAGATCGGAAAAGAAGCCAATCGGGGGAGGAGTTTTCCCCGAAAATGGTTAAGGCGAGCCAAGGACACCAAGGACTTCCCTTCTTCCAAAACCTGCACACTAAGTAGTTGCATTAAAAGCTTACAACAAAACCTGCGACAGCAACAGACAACAGGACAAGAAACAAATTCTGTGTAACTCGCTGTGCCTCGGCCATAAAGTCGCCCCCCTTCGAACTCCTTCTCCTTTTCGGAGTATCCTGCGATGCCTTTTCCTGGCAGCGACTCAAAAATGTGCGACCCTTGAGGCGGCGTTGGGGTTTCCAGCTTGTAAATCATACGGATTTGTATGCAGAATTTAAATGCTTAAATAGACCTTAGGGTTAAGATCTGTAGCTTTAAGGTTAGTTGTGTTACTTTGAAATTCGAAATTAAAAGTTCTAACAATAAAAACATAAATTTAAAAAAAGTTTAACAAGTTAAAATAACTTTATTTAAGACACAGGATAAAAAAGAAAAAGGTAAGCAGTTTTCTAAACGAATTTTTTTGTTTTAATAACAACCATCTTAGTTACTGATTCTAAAGATAAACTCTTATTTCAGTTTGAATTTCAATTCCAATGTTACACCTGTGTTATATAATTTTAAAAAAACCAACGATTCACATTATAATACTTAATATAATAATACAATAGTTTCTTTTTCCATCTTTTCTAAATTCAAAGACTTTCAAAATTAACGTATTATATAGCGCCGCCCAGCGTCTTTTAAATGAACTCAAAGATGAAGTCTTTAAAACATTCGGTAGAGGGCTATGTGTGCTATTACGGTCAAACTTAGAGGTGGGAAAATACATCTGCGGTATATTTTGAAAATTTTTGTTTGTGACAAAAAACATAATTTTTATTTTTCGGAACTATTTAATTATTGAACTTGAATCAAACAGTCTACGAAAGGAAAATCATTATACAATAATGACATGAAACAATATGCGGTACCAGCATTAGAAATGCGTTAAAAATATACTCCCTTTTTTACGATATTAGACAATTTTTGTGGAGCAGCTGGCAAACAGCTGACTTAAATTTAAAGAATACCCTAGATGCAGTATTGGTATATTTTTTAAATAAAAATGGTAACAAAGTACATTTTTGACAGCCGGATGGTATTCTTTTCCGCGGTCACACTGACAAGCGTGAAATTAAAGCCAATTTATTTCGACGGGTAAATAATTATAAAAGCGGTCAACCACCCACCCACCAAAAAGGCCGCGCGGCTTCGTTCGCGACGTATCGGTGAAAAGCACGCGTTTTCCGCTTTTCCAGCAGCCGTGTGCTACTTCGTACATTTTAAGCAGCCGGAAAAACAGACGCGCATATTGTGGGAGGCAATGGAAAGCGAAAACAAAACCGCATGTGTGACGCTGGGATAACGGCGAAAAAGGCGAAAGAGGAGCTGTGAAATAGCGAAAAACCTAAGCTGAGATCTAAAATCGGATCTGCAGTTTGAGGACAAAGAGAGAGTCGAGGAAAAAGCTACTCACAAACACACACCCATACGCGTCACACACTCTCCCGTGTAAAACCAATACAACAACAACATGCAATCTTTGCAAAGTAGTTAAATAATTCTGCCCTGTCTGCGCTTTATTTCCTTCTTCATTTCGGTTCTTCTCGTTTTATTTTTTTGGATTTCAACAAGTTTCTGTTTCTCGCTTTTCCCTTACACACTCACACCTCCACAAACACAATCGCACAGTTCTTTTTTCGTTACTACTTCAAAACAACAAAAACACACGGCACACGAACACTAAACACCTATACCAACACAACGTCTCGTGTGACGTGCGAGCGCAGAAATTGTCGTCTTTAGATTTTGTTTGTGCACTTTTCGCCATTTCCCTTTGTGTTCCGTTGTGTTCGGAAAAGAGGGGGGAGGAAGAAAGAAGGAGACGAAAAGAGGGAGAGACCGAGAAGCACCTGCGAAAAAGCGGCACGAGATCAGAAAGCAGAAAATCGCAAGAAGCAAAAGCGACCGGCTCCCCACTTACACACACACACAATCAACACTTGTTGCAGCGGAAGAGGAGAAGGGCGACAGAGAGCGATAAAAAGGGGAGACAAAGGAGAAAGAGGAGGAGAACAAGTGCCTAATAAGACAACAACACAACGCGCATCTGCTATCAGCGAATACCACTGCAAACGTAAGCATACGGATAAAGAATAGGGTGTAATAGCCTACATAATAACGCCTAGATATTACCCTACAAAATAGTAAATCGACCCAATAGACTAGATCGATTTAAGAACTTCCATATACTATAGAGTCTGTGAGTAGGGAATTTGGAATAATAAACTTGGATAAAACCCAATCGAGTGGGGAATCTGAAATAATAAACCTTTTTACCACCCCTTGCACTATAATAATTTGTACAATTCTGGATCAACTTTAATATCAATTACTAGGCATTTACAGTAGCAAATTACTACGTTTCCTTTCTGTCAATAATTAAAATAATAATCATAAGCTTTATTAAATATCGCTAATTGAACAAATTATAAGATTCCCGTATATCAAGAAAATATAACATTCAGTACTAACTCTAGCTTTCATACTGGATTACCTTGTAAATATTTGGAGTAATCACCTGTTATAAGATTGTCGGTGGGAGGTATTGGTTTGCACCTACTTCTAATAAACTTGTCTGTATCTTCTGTAATGGACCTTTAAAGTAAATGTGTAATACGTTATTTAAAGTGACAGTACTTACTTTTAATTTTTCTAAAAAACTACTTTATGAGGACTCCTTAATAAAAATCGATTTTCTATAGAAGAATTTTGATCGATCATCTATTATATTAATCACCAACTGATATTCTTGCCCAATTACCCCTCCACCTTATTAGTCGTAAAGGGCAATGCCATAAAATAGTCCATATACCATTCATGAGGAACACAATCGGCAAACGAGTGCGGCACGCTATCCGCTGATAAGTGATAAGTCGGACGGACAGGCAGTGCAATTTACCGATGGCCCGACAATCTCGCATCTGATAAGACCGGAATCACGATTTTCATGTGCCGCACATTCAAATTAAAGGCGTCAAGCTATAAAATGATATATGGAGAGCTTTAGCACTTATCAGCGATTGTTATTTTTGAACGTGCACATAAGGGGGTAAAATATAGAGGGGATCAACCAGCTTTGCCTAAGATTCACAAGTACAATGCTTTTAATTTAACTCTTTATATTTTGCAGATGGTCAAGGAGAAGCCCAACTCGACTCGTATTTACGACAAGGATGGATTCAGGCGACGCGCTGCCTGTATCTGCGTGAAATCGGAGAATGAAGCGGAGGTGAGAGGAAAACTAAAACTAAGTTTATCAAGATTGATACAAAAACTGTAGTGATTTAAAAACAATGTTTAAAGTGTTGTGGTATCTCTAGACAATTCTATAGAGATCATTTAAAAGTCTTTTATAATTTCGCAATTTTAGGAAATTGAATAAAATTTCCTAAGATAATTACTAACAATCAATTCTTACTTGTATTTAGGTGCTCTTGGTGACCTCCTCTCGTCGTCCGGAGCTGTGGATCGTTCCAGGAGGTGGTGTAGAGCCCGAAGAGGAGCCCTCGGTGACTGCCATGCGCGAAGTACTCGAGGAGGCCGGCGTAGTTGGCGATCTGGGTCGTTGTCTGGGTGTTTTCGAAGTTGGTTTTAGGGAAAACTTATAAAAGAAGATACTGATTTTACACCTACATTCCAGAACAATGACCACATGCATCGCACCGAGGTATTCGTTATGAACGTGACTAAGGAGCTGGATGAGTGGGAGGACTCGCGTAGCATCGGCCGTAAGCGTCAGTGGTTCACCATCGATGACGCTCTATCGCAGCTGGCGCTGCACAAGCCGACGCAGCAGCACTATTTAATGCAGCTGCAGCACTCGAAGACGCTGGACAACACGAATCGCGTGGTCAACGCCACGCATCCGCCCAAGTTGACCAATGCCGCCACCCCAGCCGCATCGCCCACCACGGCATAAAGACAGTAGGATGCGGAACCCGGATTGCAAAAAGCAGAAGCCACACATGCACACCACACTTAACCCCGAGACTAACCCAACACTAACTCTAACCCCATACCCAAAGCCAAACACATTTTGACATTTTGGAAATTTACAAATAGACAGGCAGTCTTCTAGATTATGTTGATTAAGCGATACTTATGTTACCCCGCATCCCCCACATAGCCCCATTTGCGTTTAAGTTTAAGTCAAAGCGTTCATTTATGTCTTTAGTAATTGTATGAGAACTAAATTTATGTGTTTACTCCAGAGCGAGTGAAGAGAAGGTGAAGAAAACAAAAACGCTACTCGATCAATGCTAAGCGATAACTTACAAATTTCGAGATCTATAACACGACACAGAAGAAAACATAAAAAAAACATGTAATAATTTTTGAGCGAATAGCACTTTTTGCAAACACGAAACCGAAACTAAAACTAAATCTAGATAAACTAAAAAACAAAATCCAGAAGTAACGATATCTATTAGATTTTTCTACTCTTTTTTTATAATTTACTCAAAAGGCATCTTAATTGATTATAGTTACAAGCAAACCAATTGGATTCGGCTTTACCAAGCGCAAAAGGATATCTTGATTAACTATGCTAAGCGGCCTAAACAATAAAAAGAAACCTATTTAAGCGATGACTAACGAAACGATTTCGTTTTGAATCTACCACAGTCGAGGATCATTTTTCAAAATAACTCTAGACTCCGGACTTTTGACGGACGAACAGCAGACGGATAAGGAATCATTAAAAATCCTTAAAATAATTAACAACAGTTGCCTATGCAAGAAGATAGAACCCATTGCAGGGGGAATATAAAGATAAACGTTAACTTATTGTAAAAACAAAATGCGAGAAATTAGAGAAGCCAGCAAACAACATATTATGAACTAATTCAACTACTAAGATATGTGCACGTTGTACTTTTCAGAAACAAAAAAAAAATAACAATAATTACGATTATAATATTAACACAGCTAAGGGAGGAGCATGTTTTCAATGTGATTTAAGAGATACAAGATACACACGAGTTGATGAACAATTTTATGTGACATTTTTTCGATGATTTTTTGGCACTTCAAAAGCGCGCAACAAACGAAATTTTAATTCAAGCTCAATGGAAGCAAAGTCTGGCAGTTGAATCTATGATTTTCCAATCTATCAATTGTACTTTAGTTGCAAACTAAAGCCGACAAACGAACTTTTATCGGAACGCTAAATTATATCACAAATTGTTGCAATTAAACGATGATTTACAACCAATAAAGAAGAAAACAAACACAAAATAAGTGTTTTTTACTGGGTGGTTTGTACTCCTAATTTTAATATTTATATAGCTGAATTTTAAATCCGTGCAGAGAATAATAATTTTTAGTTTAAAAGCTATTTAGAGCAAAACTTGCAGGTAGAATATAAGTCGGAACGGGCTGGAGAGGCCTACTATATCATATAGCTGCCATAGGAACAATCAGAAAATTAAGGGAAATAAAATGATAACTTCGTTTCTTTACATATCCCATTTACTCCCAAATATAGTATGTGTATTGTGTGTGTTTTAGTTCTCTAAAAATCTGTATCTTCAACTCGGTTTTTATTTTTGAGTCGATTTTTCGTAATTTTAATGATGTTACCCCTTTCCAAATTTTCGAAAAGTAGGCTTTGCAGAAAACTGGCCTAAAACCTGCACCATAAGCCTATAACTTTTCTTACCGACATCACATTTCAAAGTGGCATACCTCAAAATGATTGTGGGTAAATTATGTAAAAAACTGTGTTTACAGTTTGTTTTGTATTTTGGGGTCGATTTTCCGTCATTTTAATGGTGTTACCCCTTTCCAAATTTTCGAAAAATAGGGTTTGCAGAGAACTGGCCTAAATCCTGCACCATAAGCCTATAACTTTTCTTACCGACATCCGATTTCAAAGTGGCATACCTCAAAATGATTGTGGCAAAATTCTCTAAAAAACTGTGTTTACAGTTTGTTTTGTATTTTGGGGTCGATTTTCCGTCATTTTAATGGTGTTACCCCTTTCCAAATTTTCGAAAAATAGGCTTTGCAGAAAACTTGCCAAAACCTGCACTTCTAAGCCCATAACTTTTCTTACCGACATCCGATTTCAAAGTGGCATACCTCAAAATGATTGTGGCAAAATTCTCTAAAAAACTGTGTTTACAGTTTGTTTTGTATTTTGGGGTCGATTTTCCGTCATTTTAATGGTGTTACCCCTTTGCAAATTTTCGAAAAATGGCTTTACAGAAAAGTGGCCTAAAACCTGCACTTCTAAGACCATAACTTTTCTTACCGACATCCGATTTCAAAGTGGCATACCTCAAAATGATTGTGGCAAAATTCTCTAAAAAACTGTGTTTACAGTTTGTTTTGTATTTTGGGGTCGATTTTCCGTCATTTTAATGGTGTTACCCCTTTGCAAATTTTCGAAAAATGGCTTTACAGAAAAGTGGCCTAAAACCTGCACTTCTAAGCCCATAACTTTTCTTACCGACATCCGATTTCAAAGTGGCATACCTCAAAATGATTGTGGGTAAATTCTCTAAAAAACTGTGTATACAGTTTGTTTTGTATTTTGGGGTCGATTTTCCGTCATTTTAATGGTGTTACCCCTTTCCAAATTTTCGAAAAATAGGCTTTGCAGAAAACTGGCCTAAAACCTGCTCTTCTAAGCCCATAACTTTTCTTACCGACATCCGATTTCAAAGTGGCATACCTCAAAATGATTGTGGGTATATTCTCTAAAAAACTGTGTTTATAGTTTGTTTTGTATTTTGGGGTCGATTTTCTGTCATTTTAATTCCAAATTTTCGAAAAATAGGCTTTGCAGAAAACTGGCCTAAAACCTGCACGTCTAAGCCCATAACTTTTCTTACAGACATCCGATTTCAATGTGGCATACTTCTCAATGATTGTGGTTTGATTCTCTAAAAATCTGTGTTAAATCTTTAAATGATAGGTTTTAACTTTGCTTGTTTTAAGTGATCTCTGAATGGTGTCTTCCAAAACCTTTTTTCACTGATTAAGTAAATTTTAACGCCCGTCATGGAATTGTTTACTTATATGTAGTTTATTTTGTATAACAAATTTGGCTATATTAAATCTAAATCTTATGTATATTGACTACTTCTTCAGCTGGATTCTCTTGAAGGGATGGGCTTCAATGTAGGCTAGAGCCTTGAGGATGTAATCTGGAATGGGAGGAGGCGTGGGCAGGTGGGCTCCGGTGGGACGATAGCCGTTCTCATCGGCGGTGTACTCCAGCTGGATGGGTGTTCCGTCGGGAGCATTATATTTCACGGATCCAGCCGCTTGAACTCCTCCCACTCCACTTTCCTGGGCATCGATGCCATTGGAGGTCCCAAACTCCCAGCTGTAGGTGCCATCCGGATTGATCTCATTCTGATACTTGGTGATCTCGGCCTGTGATTCATCTGCAGCTCGGGTGACGGCAACCAGGAACAGGGAAATGATTAGCGCCTTTGGTGGGAAAAGAAAACCTTGATTAGCTGTTCTATTAACGCTATTTTAGCATCGGACTTACGATCTTGAACATTTTGATGCTGTTTTTGCTGCAGTTGCTAATGATTACTGATCTCTAAGTTCGACGACAGATCGTTTTATACTCGCACCCGATCACTGACCTACACCTACAACTTTGCAAAGCAAATGCTCTTCGGCACTCCGAATTATTAATTTAATTCGCATATCTGAAAATATGAATTTGACCGAGTTTTACGAGCGTTCCTCGCTTAATAGCTCCGTTTGTTATCGTCTGTTGTTTGTTTTCACTACTAGTTAACGACCCAGGTGCTCTATAACCCCATCTGTTTGGGCACTCTACTTATCTGCGCCTTAGAAATCGCAGATCAACGATCGCGATTTACAGATGCTGCCAAACAATGCCTCTTTTCTTATCTAATCTTGACTTAAATTCATAATAAATATATAAATTGTAAGCCAAACTTGAAGATACACAAAATAATCTAGCGAATATTGTACACTCTTTTACATTTTCAATAATAAATAATTAAATCAAATTAAATCTTTTATAATAAAAGAATAGACTAACATTTCTAGAAAAAAAAAACTGTAATCTTTAAGATTTATTTAAGGTGTTTTTCTACTATAGCAAAACTTACTGTACCTAATTGTTCTTAAACTTAAAAATAACCAGTAAAATAAATAAAAAGACTACAAGTAATATTAAATAAAATATGATTAACTTGGGTAGAGTATGCCTGGAATAGACAAACCTATCCACTGGTCTAACCTATCCTATATATTCCGATGTAAAGAGTATATGGAGGCGCCAAGAGGCGATTTGGACTGTCACTCGATTAGCGGCTTTTGTTGTTAATGAGATGCAAATGCGAATATGAATGCGGGCAAATGCCGACAGCGCAGTCAGCGCTTGAATCTGAGTCGAACTTGAAAATTGAACAAAACGTCGAGTGTCATCGTAAATTTATACCAGCTTCTGCTGATTTTAGATAGTTTGCATTTCATTTAGTTTTCAAATTGTAAATATTTGTATGCCATCCGAAAAGTATACTCTTGAATAGTGCTAAATCTAATTTTGTTTGCATATTTGTGTTGTTTGTTTAGGGACTTTTTTTTATAAATATAATTTTATAATATACCTTGAATACCTTCATAAACGAACTACAAAAATGGCAATTCGAGCCAAAGCCAGAACGAAATGTATTAAAGGTTAACAAACTTGTATCAAAAAGTATCAAATTCGAATATTCTTTTTTTAATGCCAATCAATCAATCAATGTAGAGATTTTTAGTGGTGTGCCACTTTTGGGTCTCATTTTTTTCAGGTTTTTGGAAATATAAAAATTGGACAACAAAATAGGCCTTATAATGCAGACTAAACTTTTTCCAAAAATAAAGTTGAACTTCTGAATACGAAAATTACACTCCTTTTCCTAAACATTTTTTTTAAGTGTAATTGACCTTTGTTATTTGTTTTTGGACTTTTTTTGTTACTGAAAAAACATTTCCCAAAAATTGGCATTAAAATTCTTTAAATGTTGTAAGCCAGAACTTAGTGAAAAATAAAATTTGTATAAAATTTTCTTGAAATCTACATCTTTTTTTTAAATCCACAATTATATTTTTACAAATTGTTATAAGCATTTATAGATTATCACATCAGACTTGCGAAACTGCTTAACCGTAGATTGTTCTCCTCGTGCCTATCCTGCCGTCCTGGATCACGGTTTGAGGACGGGTGCGGATGTACTCCAGACTCCTCAGGATGGCAGCTGGGATCGGGGGAGGAGTGGGCAGGAGGGCTCCCTGGGGCTGGTAGCCGTTCTCATCGGCCACGTACGAGATCTGGACGAGCTCTCCCTCCGGCGAGTAATACGAGTAGCCTCCTGTGGCGTGGTTTCCTCCGATTCCGGACTCCTGGGCGGCGATTCCGTTGCTGGTCTCGTAGGCATAGTTGTAGTTGCCCTCGGGTGTGATATCAGCATCACTCTTAGTGATGTAGGCACCAGCATCCTGGTTGTAGGTGGCAGCGGCGTAGGCGCAGGCCAAGAAGGCGGAGGCAACAAGCATCTATAAAAAGAATGATATCAAGAATAAGTTAAAAATTAGATATTAGAAATTTGCGGTAAAAATGGTCTAAACGTTATATTTTTATAGCAATTGTAAATAAAAAATAAAAGTTCTTAAGTTCCGTAAAAATATTTAAAATATGTAATCGATTTGGTAGATTTTAAAAATATCTAAAAATTTGTTAAAGGAGTTAAAACTTGATGTTTAATCCAAAATTAAAAGAAACATATATAACATATTAAAAGATATGTTTTATATTTCTCTTAGCACAAAAGTAAAAGAGTATGAAAAATTCAGATTTAAATATTTTTGTATATGGCACTTATATTCCTTTTGTTTTTGATGTTTTAAGTTATCTCTTGAATTTTGAAAATTTATTAAATCTTTTCACTTGTTATATCCTGAGTATCCTTGTTGGTTTTGTTTGATGATATACTTACGTAGCGGAACATCTTAGCTGATTTGGAGGAGTGCGTGTGTCTGAGACTAAGAGACGACTCTGAATGATGATTCTGTGGCAAATAGCTTTGGTTTATATAGGAATTGTTAGTGCGAAACCCGATCCACCCAAACAACTTTTACGGCCGCAAGAAACTCTTCTGATTAACAATGGCCAAGACGAATTTGGCCAAACTAGTGCGCCGTGAGCGGCTTAAAAGGTAAAGAGCCACGCACAGACTCAAACTTCCACTCTTATATTTTACGTCATTCAAGCTCGTACAAAAAACTATGATTGGTTAGTTGACGTCAAATTGATTTAAATTTATTCATATTTTTCTAAGCTCCCATTTAATTATTATCTTAAGGAGTGGTATTTAAAAAAAATTTTCGATCATTACAATTAATCATTCTTTACAAGCGTTTGGTTAATTTAAAGAACTGAGATTTTTTCGTTTGCACAGGCAGTCTAGATCGACTTTCGTTCAAAGGCTTTATCCATCCACATTTTTAATTTATGCAATGCCACATTTATAACTGTTGAGGACGTTTACATAGTAAGAAACATAGATTAGACAAAATTTTACAACTTAGTAAGGAAATTAGTAGGCAAATCAGCCAATCCGAATTAACAATGTCCATTCCTTTCTAGGAAAGCTTTTCTTTCAGTTTTAATCCTATTTGGACTTATCCTATTGCCAATTGCAGGTAGTATAAATGTTAGAAGACAGAAAACTTTCATTGGCTTTCAGAAATACGGTTTTAGTATGGACGACTATATCGTATATGTTTTACGACATAAAAAGTACTAAATTTACAAACTATATCAGATAGCTGCCTTTGGAACGATCAAAAAATTTATAAAAAATAAACAAAACTTTATTACTATTATACATAAATGAAGATTAATATTCGTTAGTCACAATATAGTCCTTCTGAAGAATAATTCATTCTTACAACTGCGAGGGTGTATAAACTTAGCTTCTTTTCTTATTTTGTTATATTGTTTAATAACTTAGCGTCTCCAAATAATGAATCTATAATTTAACATGTTAATATTCATTAGAATTGGTTTCCCTTAACAAGCCAATAGTCTGTTTAAGTTTTATTCACATCTTTATTTATTTCAACTCCACAATAACATTTTTACAAACTCTAATAAAGCTTTTAACAGGTTTTCACATAAGTCTTGCGAAACTGCTTAACCGCGGAATTTCTGCTGTTGCTCCACGTATTGGGGGTGGGTGCGGATGTACTCCAGGCTCTTTAGGATGGCAGCTGGGATCGGGGGAGGAGTGGGCAGGAGGGCTCCCTGGGGCTGGTAGCCGTTCTCATCGGCCACGTACGCGATCTGGACGAGCTCTCCCTCCGGCGAGTACCACGAGAAACCTCCGTTGGCTTGGTATCCTCCGAGTCCGGACTCCTGGGCAGCGATTCCGTTGCTGGTCTCGTAGGCATAGTTGTAGTGACCGTCGGGTTGGATATCGGCACCACTCTTGGTAATGTAGGCACCAGCTTCCTGGTTGTAGGAGGCAGCGGCGTAGGCGCAGGCCAAGAAGGCGGAGGCAACAAGCATCTATAAAAAGAATGATATCAAGAATAAGTTAAAGATATTTGGGGTAAAAAATCGTTATTATGCTTTTTCATTTCCAATCGTTATATTTTTGTAACACTTTTAAATAATGTTCGTTCGTAAGTTGTGCGAAAATATTTAAAAAAAAAATATGAAATAAATTGGTAGAATTTGCAAGCATCTAAACAATAATGAAATCAATAATGAAATATATTTACATTTTAAAAAATATGTCTTATATTTCACAAGAGTAAAAGAGTATGAAAAATTTAGATTTTAATATTTTCGTAAATGACATTTATATTCCTTTTGATTTTGATGTTTTTAATTTATCTCCGGAATTTAGACTCTGATTTTAAAACTTTTCACTTGTTATATCCTGAGTATCCTTGTTGGTTTTGGATGTTGATATACTTACGTAGCGGAACATCTTAGCTGAATTGGAGGAGTGCGTGTGTCTGAGACTAAGAGACGACTCTGAATGATGACTCTGTTGCAGATAGCTTACGTTTTTATAGTAATTCTCAGTACTAAACCCGATCCACCCAAACAACTTTTACGGTCGACTGCAGGAAACTCATCTGAATAACAATGGCCAAGACAAAATTGGCCAAACTAAACTAGAGCGCCGTGAGCGGCTTAAAAGGTGAAGAGACACGCACAGACTCAAACTTCCTCTCTTAAATTTTACGTCATTGAAGCTCGTCCAAATAACTATGGTTGGTCAGTTGACGTCAAATTGATTTAAATTTATTCAAATTTTTCTAAGCTCCCATTTAATTGTTATATTATGGATTGGTTTTTTTTTTCTAAGCTGTCATTTAATTGCTATCTTAAGGATTGGTATTTTAAAAAATTTCACGATCATTACAATTAATAATATTTTACAAATGTTTTGTTTATATTTTTTATTTCGTTTATACAGACAGTCCAGATCGACGTTATTTTTTTTCTGCGACATATGAAATAAATTGATTATTCCATAAATGCGTGTTAAATAACATATCAAAAAAAGGAAAAGTCTGACTTAAAAAAAGTAACGCTTGCCATTGTCTTTCCTGGAGTGTTAATGTTGACTTTTTAACCATTTCCATTCCAAGAATTAAATTAATCTTGGGAAACTGAATCAAATGTACAGATGCGCTACAAATTATTAAACATCACTTTTACGTAATCTTATTCCTAGCTTTAAGATAAATTAAATATTTCATATTTTGCTTTTCAAGCTATAGTCGTTCGATCCGTCCCTTTCCGGCTTATATACTATTTGCGATAGGAAGACAAGTTTTTGGAAGTTTTCTCCATATAGCTCCAGAACTGAAAGACGGACGGATAGATTGGATAGATCGACTCTCCTGGTTATGCTAATCAAAAATATCCTTAATGCATTGCAAACTTTTGTCTGAAATTATAACTACCTTTGCGAGCGTATAAAAGGAACATATTTCAAATAGAAGCTTGAACAGAATCTTGACTAGGTCTTTAAAATCGAAAAATTAAACAAATTTAACGGAGATTCATTCCAGAGCTGCATTAAACCACATTATTATTATTATTTATGTACTGCCAAATTATTAACTGTGAATATGGTGAATGAGGTAGAAGGTTAATCAGCCGAGCCGAATTAGCAAAGTCCATCCGTTTCTAGGCAAACTTATCTTTCAGTTTTAGTTCTATTTGGATATAGCTTTCCTAAAAGGCTTTAGCCAATTGCCGGTATTTTTTAAAAATCAGAACGAGCTGAATCGGACAAATATATTATAGCTTTCATTGGATTTCAGAAATACTGTTTAAGTATGGACTACTATATCATATATGTTTTTGAAGTACTACATTAACCAACTATATTAGGGAAATCAAAAAATATACAAAACTTAATTATTTGTATACATAAATGAAGATTAATAGTCGTTGGTCACAATATAGTCGTTCGATAGGTTAATACATTGTTATAGCTGCAAGGGTGTATAAACTAAGCCTCTTTTCTTATTTTGATATATTGTTTATTGGCATTGCATCTCAAAATATTGAATCTGTAATTTAACATGTTAATATTCATTAGAATTGATTTCCCTTAACAAGCCAATAGTCTGTTTAAGTTTTCTTCACATCTTTATTTATTTCAACTCCACAATAACATTTTTACAAAGTGTAATAAAGCTTTCAACAGGTTTTCACATAATTCTTGCAAAACTGCTTAACCGAAGATTGTTCTTCTCGTGCCTGCCCTGTGCTGTTGAGGGGCTTCCACGTATTGGGGGTGGGTGCGGATGTACTCCAGGCTCTTCAGGATGGCAGCTGGGATCGGAGGAGGAGTGGGCAGGAGGGCTCCCTGGGGCTGGTAGCCGTTCTCATCGGCCACGTACGAAATCTGGACGAGCTGTCCCTCGGGCGAGTAATACGAGTAGCCTCCGTTGGTTTGGTATCCCCCGAGTCCGGACTCCTGGGCGGCGATTCCGTTGCTGGTCTCGTAGGCGTAGTTGTAGTGACCGTCGGGTTGGATATCGACACCACTCTTGGTAATGTAGGCACCAGCATCCTGGTTGTAGGAGGCAGCGGCGTAGGCGCAGGCCAAGAAGGCGGAGGCAACAAGCATCTATAAACAAAATTAGGAAAAATTACAAATTAGTCAAATGCCTTTACGTTTTTATAATTTATAAAAACATTTATAATGGTAAAAAAACAAACAGCAGACTCCCACAAATATCAGAGAGATAGTTTCAAGAATAAATATATTGTTTTCGAATATATTTAAAGAATTTAAAAATATTTTTTTGTTTAAGTGCCCAGAGATATTAGGAATCTCTTTTTTCAGATTATTTTGTATAACTTATTATTAGTAAGTATCCTTTTGACTTACGTATCGGAACATCTTCGGTGGACTGGAGTGCGTGTGTCTAAAACTGAGAGACGACTCTGAATGGTGACTCTGTGGAAGATTGACAATCTTTTTATACAAATTCTCGATGCTAAAGCAGATCCACCCAAACAACTTTTACGCCCTGCTGCAGGAAACTCATCTGAATAACAATAAAACTAGCCGAAATTGGCTAAACTAGAGCGCTTAGAGCGGCCAAAGAGCTAAATAGCTACGCACCGGATCAAAATTCAGCTCTTCGCATTTCCAATTATCTCAAGCTGTGAGGAACACGCATACGACCGAAGTTAAAATATAACCAATATAAAAAATATAATAACAAAAATAGTATTAATTACGAACCGTTTAAATGTTGTATTTTTAAATAATTGAATTGTTATTCAAAGGCATTTTTTTTATAAAACTAAATTCAAATTCTTAAAAAAAAATATTATAAAATATAAAAAATGTTTAAAAATTAATTAATTAAAATTAAATTAATTAAATTAAATTAAATTAATCATAATTGTAATTCTATGATTATAAATAAAAGTAATTTAGTATTATTTATATGTAAATATTTTATGAAAATTTGTAATAGTCCTAGATAATTAGTTATAATAGTTAATGCTCAGAAAACTTACCTAGAAAACTATTTTACTTTGGATTTTACTTTGGATTAAAGGAAATAGGGTAAACGAATTTTTATGATTTTTTGTGTAGTTTAATACTCTCAATACTGATCTAATATTTTGGTTATTTAAAGTTTTTTTTTTTTGGGTGCGCTTACTTTATTTTCGGCATGTCTGGATGTTTGTTATCTTGACCTCTGCTGTGAAGCGTTGGCTCTGCAAAGAGCAAAAGTTAATACCATTCGCCCCATGCGGCAATGTCAATGCCGTAGTTTAGCCTAGGTCTGGTCCTAAGTCTGGTTCAAAATTCAGTTTCACGCGGCACACCCAAAAAGGCAGTCTTAATTGAATGCATTTAAAACAGACGAGTCTCAATACGAATTTAGCATAATTTATGGTTCCACTCCGGTCTGCTCAATGGTTAACTTTTCCAGTTCGATCCACCTATGCCTTACTTTACTTCACTTTACCCATTTGTAATCTGCGCCTGCGAGGCGCTGAAATGTGTGCGTTTAACAAATTGGTCCATAAAAGTGAGTTAATGTTTAATTGATACGCAAAGTGAGATATCAAACTGGATTAACCCGTTGCCAGCCGCGCCCAATTCGCCCAATCCGCCTTATCCAAACGCGACAAAACGTCTCGTGTCACCAGCGGCACCTTTAATGCGATTTTTAAAAATTTCATATTCTAGCACGGTGGTATGCAACTGGTTCTTAAGAGAACAGGAAGCTATAAAAAATAATAATATCAAATATCATTAAATAATGGCCGAGTTTATGGCCATTCTCTAAAAATCAAATTAGAATAAACCGTTTGAGTTTTGATAAATCGTTTCATACTCTCAGTTAAAGTATATGTTATAAATGGAGTTTTAATAAGTTGAATGCGCACCAATTTTTTTTTTTTTGCTTGCATATGTATATAGCATATTTCGGATTTAAAATACCTTATAGTAAACTAATAATTATAAAATAATAGTTTTTGCTCGATTTTTACTTAATGTTATTAAATTATATTATTTATTATTAATAATTATTATAATAAATTAATTAATAAATTATAATATTTATTATTTGTCAAAAATTTTATAGTTTATATTGACATTATTTTTTTTAAAGGAACCTATTCAATATTTTAGATGCCGTTATTTATCAAAACAATTATCATTAGCTTCAATTAAGAATAAAGCACTATTTATTTTGATTGTAATAAAAGATACAATACCCCTTTAGAAAAACGTATTCGATTTCCTTCAGCATCCTTTAATGCCAGATTTTTGCCCACTGTTGATAGTTTTAGCGATGTGCCAATTAAATAAATCAACTTGGGGGGCATGGCCTTGAAAAGACATTCGATGAGAACACAGAGATCGTAAAACTAAACTTTATGGCAGCCACAGAAAGTGAAATCATCAGTCTGCTCGATAGGAAATGCGGATGGTGCGTTTAATTAGAAGTCAGAGTTGTGGGTTTCGGTAACATGGCAACATGTGTAAGATGTTTCAAAGATTTATTGATCAGTCGCCTTTAGGCAAAATCTCGTGTTAATTTCTGAGAATAGATTCAACACTGATCTTGTATTTAGCACCCTTGGATTTGCTGTCGTCACCAACACGGGGATCCCCTGAACAGTTTCCCATAATTATGCATAATGGTTATTAATTTAATACCACTAATTAATGCCATTTTATTAGAGGGCTACCTTACAAAGTGTGGCTTACAAGTGAGTGGATTTTATGAAGCACAGTCCTAACTGGCACTCAAATCAAACCTCCAACCATTGACGAAACTGTGAATAAATTATAATAAATAACACTAAAACTTATTTGAATCGTTTTCTTTAAATCAAAGTTATATGACGTTAAAGGTCATGTATCCGAATTTGTCTAGATGCCTAAAATAGAAATAAGTCCCTACAAATATTCCCAAATATAAAAAGAGTAAAGCCCAATTCGAGGTTCCCAAATTATGACATTTAATATATTTGAGTGACTACTTAATAGCGATTATCTTTTGTATTCGCATCAGTATTCAAAAAGATGCATCTTCCGATCGGTCAGCAACACTTTGAACCTAAACTAGTTCCGAATATGATATTATTTTTAGCCGATGTATTCGGTTTTTTTTGTTTCCTCTTTTTATTAATAAACAAATTAGTTTTGCTTGGCGATGCGCGTCAGTGGCTTTGGCGGCTTCAATAATTCAACATGATTCTGGGGTATATTTATGCATATAATCGTGTATAATCTCTTCGGTTTCGATTCAGTTTTATGCAGATGAGGCGTCATTATTGGTTCAAGTTTTGTCATCCGAATCGAGACGAATTTATAATATATTTTTCCCATGCCAATCTTCACATAAAGTGTATCGTATTGCTAATGAGAATTTTGATACAATTTTAAGTCAAACACAAATTAAATATACCCTTTTGATAAATATATAATTTTAAATGTATTATAAGAAGAAAAATTAAACAACCAATAAAAGATTTAAAACAAATAATGTGAACGATTTTTTTTATTTTTTTAAAAAACATTTTGCTTAAATGCAGAATATTTGTATTATTTATTTTTAAGCTAAACATGTTTGCCAAAATAAACTGATCAAATCTTTTTAAGAAAACAAATGCAATAATAGTAATTTTTATTACTGGGTCAATGTGTTTGCAATTTATTCAGATCGAAAATTAAGCAAAAATATTCCAAACCAAATGCTTTAAATGGTTTGCATGTGTCCAAACATGAAGACTTCATCCATTAGTGTATTAAATTAAATGCAAATTAATTGGATCGAGCTCGTGTGCATATTAATTACTGTGAAACTGATACATATATTGCCAAATATGTCATATTGACTTTTAGCATTTTCTTTCATTTTCGAGTTATGGTTATAACCTGTTGGCCTTCCGGGATGTATGCTATAAAATAAAATAGGTAAATATTTTTATGGCTTCAACAGCAAATTGGCGGATTATTAATGAAGTTTTCCAAAAGTTAACTGCCATTTAATTTATAGGTTACCTAATTTATAGTCGTCTTCTCGCACTTTTAAGATTGGCAAATGAAAGTGTGAATTGTTAGTGCAAAATCTTCTGCTGATTCTTTTAAGAATACATTTTGATAAAGAGCTAAGGAAAAATTAAATGACTAACATAGTACAATTTTAAGGTATTAATGTAAAAATTATTTGAGAAATTAAGAATAACAAAAATGTTTTGTATTATTTTAGTCTTAAAACTAAGCTTTTAATATAAAACAAAAATAAAAGCAAAACTTAAGACATTACAGAATTTCTCTATGAGATTGTGTAGGGTAGCGTATAACATTTTAAGCATTTGATTATGCATTTTTTTTTATTTTAATACAAACACTTTGGAAGTTCAACTGTACTTTTTAGAGCTCTTAAAATGTAGTATTTTGGAGTAGGATTCCGTTTCCGTTCAGTCTTATTTAGTATGTTATAGCTTTTGGTACCTTGCAACACTAAACGCATATTTTATTTGGCTAACGAAAATTGTCCAATTCTTCTATTTTAAATTACTAACTTATATTGTGGCAAAATCTGTAAACATGAATCCATCGGACGCCAAGCTCCTGTGCGATTTGAATATGCTGGAAATGCAGCGCAAAAGAGTGATAATATATCAACAAATCCTGCTAGATCGTATAACTAGAACGAAGAATGAGATATATCAAAGGAACAATATGGTACAACCGAAAGCCGAGATAGAAAAGGAGAACATGCCGCCTCAATCGATATCAGGTCTAAACTCAATTTATCTTAAATCTGTAACAAAAATTCGAGCACCTCTTGCAAGATTTAAACAAGCTCAACTGATTGCCGAAAGAATAAAGAAAAACAAGTGGAAGATGCCGCCGATTAGACCAGATCAGTGCCACAAATGTCGCGCCACTATTAAGGATTATCATGTTTGCAACATTGACAATTGTTTCTTTGGGTGCGCATGTGGATTTCTGGCCAGAAATATAAACGCTCTTAATGGGCACAGCTGCCAGTGCAAAAAAAGAAATAAAGATTTGGCCAAATACGAAGCCCAATTGAAAGATCTGGATTATTTCGAAACTGAAGTCAAGAGTGAGCCAAAGAAAGAAGCTTTAAATGGAGTATGAAGTTCATCAAGCTGAATTTATTCAATGTTGGTATTTTAAAAGACATTTCCAGGATTAATTATTATTTAATAATTTTCCTTTTCTTAGAATTCAACCGAGAAGTTCCTTTCTAAATAGTCCGGGTATTACAAAAACTTTCTGTTCTCAGTTGGAGTTTTTTGTTTTACTTTAATATAAAAGTATTTCACTAGAAATTATAATACAAATTAAAATAAGTAAGTACTATTCAAAATCATTTTCCCGTCATTATTATTAATTAAAACGTGTTTTCTTCATCTAGATTTCAACGAAAAAGTGTCTGTTAAAATATCCTGGAGCGGCTTGAGTTTATCAGAATATGATAACGTACGAGCAGTATGATAATTTGGACACTTTTTTCATTGCTTTTTTAAACTGATAAAAATTTTTGTATATTGTTTTAACACTCTTATTTAAACGTATCAGCTTTGGTCAGTATTTCATAACTGATTCAAAATCTGATGTAGCAGTCTTTTTATTTGTTGTAACTGACGAGGTTATTTAAAACAAATTTCAAGTCGACACGAAATTTTACCAAAAGGTACATTTTAACAAAATGCTAAAGTGGAGATCGTAAAAGCAATAGACACACATCTTAAAAGTGGTCAAGTGAGCGACCTGAATTTTATATTCAATTTCCTGTATATGAGTAATTATCCTTAAAGAACAACAGTAAATATTGTTTTTTTTTAAATACATATATTTAATAATTACTTAATTCATGATCTAAAGTAAACGCAGAGCACTTTTAATTACTAATACTAAAAAAAAGGTTTGATAGGTATATGTATTGTTCATACATAATTATGAATGAGCATTTAAATTAAATTTAATTTTTTAGTGAGAATTTGAGAATTTTAAACTCTTCCGTAAACTAAAGCTCAAATTATATTTAAATTCTAGCGGCTAAATATAGTCCCACGAAATTTCGCCAGAGGGCGCTGTGCCCAAACAGCTGTTGTTCTGCTTCCTTCCTGCCATTCACCTGCCCGCGTGACACTGGCCATCCCGCTCGCACTCGCACTGACCAATAGCACAGCCAAAACGAGGCGAAATAAATTTAACAATTTCAATTCGACCGAAAGCTAGCTAACTGCACAGGATGCTGGCCCACAGGATGCAGCTTTGGAGGACGACAAATGCGGCGGTGGCCCTGAGTTCCGCAGCCAGCCGTTTCCCTCCACAGGTGAGTGAAAATCGCTGAAAAACAGCCGGCGACCTGTGACATAACCTGCAAGTGCCAATGTTTGTAGTCATAAATTTTACAGAAATTCAATGAACACTTTTTGTTTTAGGGTGCCATAGAAGGCAGAAGAGATCTCCATCTGCAGAGGATAACCAGGGGAAGCGCTCTGCCTTTGGAAATCACTGGAAAATGGTCGAGTCCCCGCCAGCTGCGATTTGCCAGCACTGGAGCAACTGCAGCAGCAGTTTCGGCCGGAAATAGTGGGGAATACATGCAGGCGGTGTCCACGACGGAACTGGTGGATCTGCCCGACTTGCCAGCTGCACCAACGCCCCCACCGACCGATGGCTTGGATGTACTGGACGTGGTCAATCTGGCGGGAGAACCCTCCTTCGCCTCCATTGGATTGGGCGGCTGGTCGCCGGTGGGCATGGTCCAGAACTGCATGGAGTTCCTGCACTGCACATGGGACATCCCCTGGTGGGGTGCCATTGCCATGGGAACTCTAGCCGTGCGCACCATCATCTTTCCCCTGGTAATCCTAGCCCAAAGGAACTCTGCGAAGATGAACAACAACATGCCGCAGATGCAGATGCTGCAGTTGAAGATGACCGAGGCCAGGCAGTCGGGCAATGCCATCGAGTCAGCCCGTTATGCCCAGGAAATGATGCTCTTCATGCGGGAAAAGGGCGTCAATCCCATGAAGAACATGTTGGTTCCTTTGGCTCAAGCTCCGCTCTTTATTAGTTTCTTCATGGGCCTGCGACAGATGGCAAACACTCCGGTGGAATCGATGCGGGATGGCGGACTCTTCTGGTTCACAGATCTCACCCTGGCAGATCCTTTTTACTTGCTGCCCATGATCACCAGTGCCACATTGTACCTGACCATTGAAATCGGCACGGATTCGGCGCGTTTGTCGGCGGCCAACATGAACACCATGAAATATGTACTGAGAGCCCTGCCACTTGTGATCTTTCCCTTCACCATGAACTTCCCCGCCGCTATTTTAACCTACTGGGCCTGCAGTAATTTCATTTCGCTGGGACAGGTTGCTTTGCTAAGGATTCCCTCCGTGAGGGACTACTTCAAGATCGAGAAGATGCTGACCCATGCGCCAAGTGCACTGCCACCCAAAAAGGGATTTGTCGGGGGAATGAAGGAATGTAAGTATCAGATAATATATATATATATGCATGCATATATTTAATTATATACCCTTTTTTAGCCTGGGACAACATGAAGATCACGAAAGAAATTGAGGAGCGACAGCGCCTGGATGAGATCCGCTTCGCCAAGGCCGGCAAGGGGCCGCTGGTCAAGACGTACAAGTTCGACCCAACGAAAGCGGCAAAGCCCATTTCCGTGGAGCCGCACATGCGGTTAAAGGAGCCGCCCAACAAGCAGCGATAGTCCCCGTCATCCTGTGGCCGCCTCCGAGTGCCGTGTCTTGTTACGTTAACTTAACCCTTTAGTCGATAGTTTTTCATCAACAAACTCCGAACGATTTGCTGCTTAAATATAATTTGTAAATGTACAGATGGATATATTACGTATAACACGTTTGTTTTTTGGAGCGTATACCAAGTGAGTAAACGGTTTTGTAAAAGGCGTAAAAACAATCACCATTAAGATCTTTCCCTTTTGGAAGAACTAATTCCTGTAAAATAAATTCGTCATGGTAGATCTATTTAAATTTAAACAAATAATCAGCCATAAATTGAAGCTATTTGTGTTCCCAGTAAAGATTATATATAAAGAATAAAACTATAAATTATACCATTAAAAAAATAAGAAGTCACATTAAATAGACCAATTTGTCACTAGACACCTAGATGAAAAAGAGTGTCTAGTTGCTGACCTCGATTACTAGTTATATGTTAGCATAGTCTTAAATAATGAATATGAGAGCTCGTAAAAGTAGTAGTATAATGAGAACTTGACGTAGGGAACGCCTTTAAAACTTGTTGGGGATTCCCTGGCAACAAGATAAATCTTAATTGGACAGATCTAATAACCATATAAAATAATTATTATTACCAAATCGTTAATGGGCACAGAAAAAATAACAGTCGACAAAGCTATTGATCAACCAAAGTTGACGAAGATGTGTTGATGACATAGATTTTTTTATTTTAGCTATTAGTTACTAGGTTGTAAAGTTTTAAAATTGGTTCCTTTTGATATGAATTATAAATTTAAATAGCTACGATTACTCATTTTCAAAATAGGGAAACACAAATATTCAAAAATGTAGGAGAAAAAAAAGCTATTAATCAATCTCTGGTTGAGATATACTATATTGATCACATCAATATATCATTCTATTCACTACAAAGAAACTCCCGCTGACAGTATCATTGTTAACAAATACAATTGTTTATTAGTAAGGTTAAGAAAAAATTGAACCAAATTGGAGAAGCTAGTAGATAACATAAATCATAAATTGTAGTAACTTCTATAGGTCATGAAATATATATACCAGGAAACCCTATTAAAACATTATTATTATTACTAACTCAACAGCAGACATACATATCCAAGTTGGGGATAAAAAAAATCTGTGTATGAACTAACCCCTGGCGGAGATGCACTGGTTAATCACCTCGGCGAGGTGTTTGTTTTCCAAAGCGGCTGCCACTCGTTCCTTATCGGCCAGTTGTTTATTTACCGCCTGTTCGGAGGCGTGGGTTCCAGGCGTAATCTCCACAGTGACCTTGAAACGGGGCGGCAGCGAACGGAGCAGCTTCACGCGGATGGAAAGGCCAATCAAGGTGGCCATCGAACAATGGGGAATCGTCGGGGTGAAACTGATGTGCACTGAATTCTGGCCGTCGCTGATCCGGATTAGGTCCTCCTGCACCACGTGCAACTCCTCCAGGGTCAAAGGATGTTCGGGGTCATTGATATTCCTTATGAGATCTAGAAAAAGCTATAATTTTAGACATTTTCCTAGATGTTTTCCTTGATCTTACCAAAAATCTCTCGTTTGTCAAAAGGATCTGGCACATTTTCGTCCGCTTCATTGGCCGTCAACACTCTTTCCTTGATCTTGTCGTATACATTGGGGTTTATATTTTCAATTTCTGTTGGCATTTTGTTTTGCTTACTCCTTATTTCTTTTATTTACACGTTTTTTTTGGAAAATACGCAGGAAGAAACCAAAACACATGCCAGTATGTACCTCCTGTTACACTTTTAAAAGCACTAAATTATACCACTTTTCTTTTTTGTATGTGTATACACTTTTTGAGCGCGTAATTTATTTGAATTTAAAATTATTTCGTTTTTTTTATTTATGTGATTATTAGGCTAATTATAGTAAATTAGATATAGCATTATGCAGGCATTAACAAGTGTACATCACAAAGTTACAAATTTGCATTATAATTGTCCAAACTAATTAGTAAGCCTATTTTAAGCAATTGAAGTTAATCAAGCCAATATAAATGCCACACAAACTGTCTGAGTGAATTATTTGAATTTAAATTTGATTTTAATTCAGAGCTATTAACCGATCAATCAAATCAACGCGATTCTCGCGAAGTACAGTTCCAGGAAAACACCGGCCAATTGATATGTTTACCTGTCATCTTACGTAAAGGGCGTAATTACAGACGCCTAGCGATCCATATTTATGTGCTCTTCAAATTAGCTGCGGGAATACTTAACTTTAGTTAACCAAGCTTAACTTTTTTGCAAGCCAGTGCTAAATAGCCGACAGATGTGGATCCGTGACTAAGCCTTGATCCCATTTCACTGACTAAACTCGCTTTTATTTTCTACATTTTATATTCCACTTCAGCTTTTTCGAGAAGCCGGCGCACTTGATGGCGATTTCCTCGGGTTATAATTAGCCAGACTTATCAATATCAACGTGGAAAAGCAGTAGTCACCGCGGAGATTTACATAGCGAACGGGTTCCGTGCACTTGGCGTGCATCTATTGGCAATTAGCACCGAATTACAACTGGTTAACAGCCAGAGCCAACAATTGTGGAGAAGTCTCCGATCCGCTGGGCTCATAAAATGGGTTCGCCGCGATGATGGGAGCAGCAGTTTGGGGCAAGTTTTCAAGCGGTCAACATGAAGTCGATTGTAAGTCGAGATCTCATCTCTCCAGAAGTTTTTCTGTACATCAATTAATCAGAAAATAGGAACAGTGAATGAGGAAATTATTTAACTTGGTATCCTGCTAAAAAATACTATTGTGTTCGCTTATATAAAAAAAACTTTTTGTTCTATAGATCTTAAGAGTGTAAAATATAACTTTGGTGTTCAGTTTGTTTTGAATTTATTTGTGTTTTAAAATTTAAATTTTGTCAAAATAACATAAATTAATTCTTGTTGTTCTTGAAACTTAATTTAAATATAGTACTTCAAGTGAAAAATATAAAATGCACAAACACAAGTTTGTTCCTTCAACAATTGTATTTAAGCTAATGATTTAATAATTTACTTTTAGATTATTCTTTTAGCCTTAGTGGCTTTCTGCCAAGCGGCGCCTTTGGAGGTCAAGGAGTCGTCCTCGGAAGCTCTCTCCAGACCCAGTCCCATTAGTCCCGATGTGATCAGTGATCCCAAGCCCCCGGCAAAGGTCGTCCTGCTGAAGGATACTGCCGTCCTGAATCGCGAGAAACGTGACGAGGCCAAGAAACCCGACAATGAAAAGGCCCCCGAATCCCTCCAGCACAATGCTCCTGCTCCAAGCCCCTTTCTCGTGGCTCACCACGAGGATGCCCACAAGCACAAGCGGGAAGCTCACCACGAGGAGGGTCACAAGGAGGAGCCCCAAAAGGAGGAGGTAAAGGATGCTCCCGAGGTTCCCGAACCCAAGAAGGAGAAGCGAGAGGCTCACCATGAGGAGGGTCACAAGGAGGAGCCCCAGAAGGAGGAGGTGAAGGATGCCCCCGAGGTTCCCGAACCCAAGAAGGAGAAGCGAGAGGCTCACCATGAGGAGGGTCACAAGGAGGAGCCCCAGAAGGAGGAGGTGAAGGATGCCCCCGAGGTTCCCGAACCCAAGAAGGAGAAGCGGGAGGCTCACCACGAGGAGGGTCACAAGGACGATGATAAGCCTCAGGTGGAGGATCTTTCACTGCCCCATGCTCTACCTACAGATGCTCATACCGCGGAGTTGCCCAAAAAGCAGGAGAAACGCGAGACTGTTGAAAAACCCGACAGCGTGAAGGCCCGCGAGTCCATCCAACACAAGCCCCAGCACTCCGAGGATCTCACCAAGGCTATCGAATCTCTGACCGGAGGAAAAGCCCCGGAGCAGCGTCATCAGCGCGATATCCCCGTGCCCACTCAAACCAAAGCCACCGCCGCACCTGCAGAAACCACAAAATCGGAGGCCGGAAGCACCACGCCCTCCACCCACCATCTGAATATTCCCCATCCCATTCCGGTTGCTGAGCTCTTCGAGAAGAACAAGAAGTCATCTTCCAGCTCCGAGGAAAGCAAGGAGAGCAAGGAGAAAGTCAAGGCCTAAACATTAAGATCCTAAACTTGCTAATTGAACCATCACGAGATTGTAGTCAACGAAAATGAACTAAAATAAACAAAAATATTTACATGCTTATATAAAAAGACTGTCTGCTAATTAATCAATAAATATTTAGGGAAAGAGGGAAACTTATAAACTGGCTTATAGTTAGATGTCAGAAAATATATGAATCAGTCCTGACATAATATTTGCATTAGCTTTTGGAAACTCTATGGCATTTTATTTTTTACCAGGCTAAATAACAGAGTGCACTTAAAAATGAGCTTAGTTTTACATCATTACACGTAAACATTTTTTGCATGTTTAGACAGTCCAACATATTTTATATTTTTAATTGGAGGCAGAAAAAGTTATTATGTTTTTGTGCATCGCCAACGGAAAATATCAACATGCAAAAAACAATTTAAAATTTTTAAAGCAAACTATGTTTTTTAAGAAAATGTAATTATTGTTATTCGCAACAATATTGTAAGTTTATATTTGAATTATTTTTGCTACCTATGATATGGTTTCGATTACGTTCCATATATAAAAAAAAAATAAAACATATTTATTTTTATATGGGCTTCCCCGTATAAATAAGAGCAACTCTACTGCGTACTATTTTTAATATGAAAATTAAACGTTCGCGTAAGTACCTTTACGCTAATTATTGACTAAATATTTATAGGTTACAATTTGCTAATGATTACGATACATAGTATTCCAAAGTTAAAAGGTATCAACCAAATATAAATCTGTAAATCATATATGCATAGGCAATCAATTGGTTTTTTATATAATATAGTTTTTCACAACAATTATAAATAACAATAGACAATATAAGACGTAAAATTGTTTAGCTTATTTCAAATGTTTTTGGTGATAAGTTTAATTGCATTTAAAAAAGTTTTATAAAATGTAATAAGAAATCTAATAGGAAAAGAGATTTGGAAAAATTCCAAGATTGTATATGAATATACATTTTAAAAGCTAATCCAAGCCAATTGCTTTTGATTACTGACTAAATATTCACGAGGTAATCTAGCTTATTGGTTCTCCCTTCTATACCACTTCCTCAACTGCTTCTAGTTATGATTTTCCGAAGTAATCATCTGATTTGAAGATCTCTACAGGTTGGTATTCCTCCTCAATGAGATTGGATCGCGGAAGAGAGTTGGACGTTGCGGGTTCGCTGGCACTTAGCTTGGCTTTAAGGGGTTTCAAAAGAAGTCCTTTAATGCTATAATCCGTAACGTGAAGTTCCTCCTCAGCAATATCCACTGATCTCTCAACTTCTTTCAAATTCGTGCTAACTGCGCCCACAAATTGCTCCAGACTGTCGATCCTAGTTTTTAACTGCTCGAAACTCTCTCCAAATGCCAGGATACTGCACACATTGTTGGCCATCATTCCATTGGACTCTGCACGCACCTAAAAGTCAATAAAAAATGTAAAAAATCCATTAAATTTAATAAACAAAACAAACCGAAGACAGTAAAGTTTCGAACTCATCCAATCTGGCCAGCATATCGTCTATATTCGTGCAGAGTGGGTTGATCTCCTTTTCCAGATCGGCGCTCTGTACAATCTTCGCATAATCCCGAGAAACATTACTAATATCGGCTTGCATTTTGTGTTTTTTTTTATAATATTTGTAAATAAAAGCAACAATTGTTTTCTCTTTTAGCCCAAAACAGTGTGTGCATACTGATGGAGGGAAAAATTGCTTAGGCGTTAGGTGATTATTGGAATAGTTTTTGGGATATCGATAGTGTTTAGGAAGCCAAAACACACAAAATATCGATAGTATCGTGAGTGATCGACCCAGCTCTGTTTTATTGATTTTGTGTGGGAAATTGTTGGATTGCACCCGGAATTGGAGGAACATGAGCGGCTACCGAGGGATCGGCGGCGGGGGATTCCCCTACCGCAAGCCAGCAAGTTCCGGCAACAACATGAACGCCGTGCCCCCACCTCCGATGCTGAATGCCCGGGGTTATGTGGGCTCCCGAGGAGGAGGAGCGTCAATTTCCGGTGGAGCAACTCGCGGCGGTATTACGGGAACTACTACATCGACTTCCAAGCACGGGTATTCCACTCTAGACTCCATTAGTCAGTACACCAATGCCACAAACCTGGTGGGGAAACGGAAACATCACACGGATGACGAGTACTTCGATGATGATGATGAGCCCAGGGAAAAGGAACTGGAACAGGCCTATATACCCGCACCAGGCTCCCCGGGAGCTCCGGGTCCTCCAGCCAAAAAGCAGGAGGATTCCGATTCTGACGAGGATCCTCTGGAGCAATTTATGGCGGGGATTAACCAGCAGGTGGAGAAGGAGAAGCGCCAACAGGCTCCCAAGCCTCCAACTCAAGCCGTAAGAGGCGACATCGATGACGAGGACGACGAGGAGAGCTATTATCGTTACATGAAGGAGAACCCCAATGCAGGACTCCGCGACGAGGGATCTGACCAGGAAATCGAGTACGACGAGGATGGCAATCCCATTGCTCCGCCGAAAAAAAAAGACATCGATCCCCTGCCGCCAATTTATCACTCCGAAATCGAGTATGAACCCTTCGAGAAGAACTTCTACACGCAACATGACGATATAGCCTCCCTGGACGAGGATCAGGTGCGGGAACTAAGACGTACTTTGGGCGTCAAGGTCACAGGACCATCGCCACCCAAGCCAGTCACCTCATTTGGTCATTTCGGCTTCGATGAACAGCTCATCAAGGCGGTGAGGAAAGCGGAGTACACACAACCCACTCCCATCCAGGCGCAAGCTGTGCCAACCGCTTTATCCGGCAGAGATATCATTGGCATAGCCAAGACTGGATCGGGTAAAACAGCAGCTTTCATCTGGCCCATGCTAATGCACTTGATGGATCAAAGGCAGCTAAAACCTGGCGATGGACCAATAGGCTTAATTTTAGCACCCACACGCGAGCTTTCCCTACAAATCTACAACGAGGCCAAGAAGTTTGGCAAAGTGTACAACCTGAACGTAGTTTGCTGCTATGGAGGTGGCTCCAAATGGGAGCAGAGTAAAGCCCTGGAGCAGGGAGCTGAGATTATAGTGGCCACGCCCGGCAGAATGATAGATATGGTCAAAATGAAGGCCACCAATCTGAGGAGAGTTACTTTCTTGGTACTCGACGAGGCCGATCGCATGTTCCATATGGGCTTCGAGCCGCAAGTGCGCTCCATTTGCAACCACGTGCGTCCAGATCGCCAAACTCTTATGTTTTCCGCCACCTTCAAGAAGAGAATTGAACGCCTGGCCAGGGATGTGCTCACCGATCCTGTGAGGATAGTGCAGGGTGATCTGAACGAGGCCAACCAGGACATCACTCAGTCTGTGTATGTCTTCCCCAATCCCCTGCAGAAATGGAACTGGCTGCTCTGCCACCTGGTGAAGTTCCTCTCGGAAGGTAGCGTCCTGATTTTCGTTACCAAGAAAGCGGATGCCGAAACAGTATCCAACAATCTGTTGGTTAAGGAGTACAACTGCCTATTACTCCACGGCGATATGGACCAAGCGGACAGGAATAAGGTTATCACACAGTTTAAGAGGAAGGAATGCGATATCCTGGTGGCCACCGATGTGGCCGCTAGAGGATTGGATATACCCCATATCAGGAATGTGGTGAACTATGACATTGCCAGGGATATTGATACGCACACCCACAGAATTGGAAGAACGGGCAGAGCCGGCGAAAAGGGTAATGCTTTCACTCTGGTCACCGATAAAGATAAGGAGTTCGCGGGACATCTGGTGCGGAACTTGGAGGGCGCCGATCAGCAGGTGCCCGACGATCTAATGGAGCTGGCCATGAAGAGCTCCTGGTTCCGTAGTTCGCGTTTTAAGCAGGGCAAGGGAAAGCGGCCGACAAATACCCACACAGGATTGGGTTATCGGGAGAAGGGAAATGGAGCTGGATATGGCTCGGGTGGTGGATCGGATTCCGGAACCAGTGGGTCTGTTCATGTCCCATCCGAAGGACCCTCAAGCAAATCCTCTTCCAGCGCAGGACCCGCTACAGATCGGTATGCAGCCATGAGGGAGGCTTTTCGGTCGCAGTATAACAACCAATTCCGAGCCTCCAGCGATCGCACTTGGGAGAAAACTCTGCCCGATTCGGGAGTTTTTGCTGCGCCAATGGCACCACCTCCACCAACTTCATCGTCATCATCCCAGGGAGCTTCCTCCTCGTCCAGCAGTAGCAGCAGCAGCAACCAGGACGCCAAAAGGGCCAAGAAGAGCCGCTGGAACTGAACGAAGGGCCCAGTAAACTTATGCTGCTACTTGGTTTATTTCTCTTCATATTATTTAATGTGTATTTGCTTTTGTTCCATCGTTTAAAATTACAGCTTATGGACTAAATTTAAACATATATTTAATCAGATATATACCATGTTCATTCATAAAGATTACGTTAGTTAAATACTCGTATGTACAACTCTCTTCCTTCGCAGCCAGATCCAGCGAACGATCCCACAGATCCAAATAAAAATCTTCATTAATTGTAATCATGGTTATGTGTATTTTATTTTGAATAAAATCACATTTGCGCATCCCAACTGCCTATCGATATTGTTAATCGTTAATCGTGTCGTTTTTCATTAAGCGAGAGAAGAAATCGAACTGGAATATCGAAATCTTGAAGCTAAATTGTTCGTTAATCATTATGAAATATTGTTTTACAATGAAACCACTACGAATTTTGTTTCTTTTTCGCTTTTGGATATACGTGTTCATATAATAATTTAATTACGTGTGTTCTTGATAACATTGAGAAGAGATTGAGATTCATTTAACTACCACATCGAGGCGATTTTGCGTAAATTTTCGAGTTTTCATTCGTTTTGTTAAGCGCTGAACTGGGAATTAGCCTGGGCAAAGCTTAAAAATTTTGCTATATTTGAATATCATATCAGATACGTACATGAATATATATATTTTCCGTTATATATAGTTCGCATATATACTCTATTCAAAGACTCGTCGGTGTGTGGGTGTTATACATATATATTTGTATATAAAAATTGGTCCATGTTAACCACATCGTACGAAACATATAGAGGAACTCAAAAGAAAACCAAAGGAAAATCCAAAACAAAGTGGAATTGGGTGGGGAAATAAAACGCAATCAAAATCATAACACTGTAATTTTAGTTTTGAAATACTTTTTGTTTTTTTCATTTATTATTATCATTATTTAAATGTATTAATTAGCTTTGTGTGTGTGTGTTTTTTGGGGGAGGGGTGTGTTCTTGTTGTTGCCGCATATATAACATACATATCCATATATACAATATATTTTAGATCTAGCATTAAATTTGATTTACACTTTTAATAGTTTGTTTCTCTCTTCCGCTAATTATGCAGTTTTGTTTTGTCACTTAATTATACACATTTATTTTCTGTTCGTTATAGTTAATAATTCTTAATATTTTCTCCGCTGGTCTGTTAAATTTCGTTTATCATTTACCGAGCTAAATCAATTAATTTTTATATGTAGATAGGCTTTAAAAAATAATTAAAATTATGCAACAATTAAAATGTAAATGTTTTCATTTTATAAATGTAATAAAATTGTTGGGATTTTACTTGTATGTATTTTGTATTTCTCATTTTTTCGCTTTTGTTTTTCTTTGCTCATGCTTATTTTGTTTTTGCTGAATTAACTCTTCTCTCTTTTATTTTTTAATATTTTTAATACTTTGTAAATGAACAAGAAACATTTTGCAACAAAAGTCTGGGATAAGGCAAACAAAAAATGTAATTTTCAAAAAAACGAACAAAGGACTTTCTGCTGTATTTTAAATTCGTAAATTTCATTGAAGGAATTTTCATGCTCTCAACTAAATTGATTGTTTTTTCTTTTTTTTTTATATGGTATAATGACTGTTTGTTATTTTTTTTATGCTTTTTCTGTGTGTGTGTGTGTGTATTTTTTTTCGTTTTTTTGGGTTTTTTTTGTCAGTTAGCTTTAAATTAAATGCCAATTAATTTAATTAATTAATTTTTAAATCACATTTCATTGTTTTTCAACACGGGCAAATTTAAATTTTCGCTTCGATTTCTCATCCAGTGTGTTGTTTTTTGTAATAGTTTATCCATTTTTTGTGGTTTTACTTGTTGCTGCTGTTGGTTTGTGTGAGGAAACGAAAATGTTTGTTGAAGTACGAGACTGGCTTCTAGTGCACATTTCTTTAAAATTAATAATACTATATACAATTTATGGTATTTCTGCCATTTCAATTCTCCAACTCTCTCTCAGCTTTTAGGCCTTGAATTTTCTTTTAGTTTTCTTTAGGTCTAGTCAAATAACGTGGCCAGCAATTCGTCGCTGGCATTGTTGTTGCTGCTGCCACTCGAGGGCGGAGTGTTAAGATCGGGCTGTGGATCCAGATAAGACAGGATTTCCATGGGATCCACGTCCTGCAGCAGCTATAAATGGTTTTTAAAAAATATTTCAATTAGTATTTTATACTCTCAAGGGATGTATATATTTTGTAAGACTTACATTCAGATCGTGGGCTGTATCGTTTATGGCCGCTGCCGCCGCATCGAAACTTTGCAGTTCGGCACTCAAATCGCTTTCGCTGAACTTCAGCTGGGTCTGGCTGCTCATCAGCGAGTTGAGCAGCTGCTCCTGTTGCTGCTGCTGGCTGTCCGCTCCCCCGCCCCCCATGCCGCCACCGCCCATCCGACTGGGCGTGCCCGGCGTCTGGGGGGAGTTGTGGCCGGTGCTGCTGTTGTTGTTTCCGCTTCCGTTGGCGTTAGGCGTACCGCCGCTGATGGGCTCGTTGTGGGAACTGCTCACGCTGGGCGGTCCGCCGGGGGTCATCGGATGACTGGCCGCTCCAGGAGTGTGCGGGGTGTGGGGCATCTAAAATATAGGTAAAGAAAATATATGGTTGAGTACGTGCATTTTTAAAATTGGTTTTAAGTATAGATAAGCCTAGACTTATCCATAAAAGTCAATAAGAAAATGTAATGTACAATAACTTTTTTCAATTTTTTTTCATTCATTGGGTTTTCTTCAAAATAATTTTTAATTGAGCTCAAATAAAGTATAACCAAATTATATTTTTCAAAATATTTTTTTTATATTTTGCGAAGAGATATCTGTGACTTAATGAGATCTGCAATATTTCAGATTCAAATATAAATTAATTTAAAAAGGTTTGTTGCTAAAAAAAAAATTGTGAAACCATTTGGTCAAAAATATTTAAGTAAAATTATAATAGTTTTTAATATTTTAGACTGGCCAAATTAAATGGTAAACCTTTTATACAAATAAACTAACAATATTTGAATATTTTTGATTTAAAAATTCCTTTTCCTTTTTTTAAAGAAATCTATAATATTCTAAATATTTCTTATATTTTGTAGATGCTTACCTGATCGCTGAGCGACTTCTCCATGGCATTCAGCTGGTCGAGGGAGTTGACACCGCCGTCGCTGCCTGCCAATCCGCCACTGCCATCGCTGTGGTTGCCACTGAAGCCGTCGTAGCTGCTGCGATTGCCACTAAAAATGATGAGAAGTGGGTAAATTAAATGTCAGCACAATTAAATACTAGAAATCGAGTAAAAGGACACTTACTGCTGGTTGGTGTTGCCGCCGTTGCCCATCATGTTGCCGCTGGCAATGGAGTTCATGTCGTGCATGTTGTAGGGACTCATCGCCTGCGCACTGTCCCAGGTGGGCAGTTGGGTGGATCCCGGCGACATGACCTTGGCGATGTCGTCGCACAGTTCCTGCTTGATGGCCGGCAGGGTGGGGTTGCCACTGCTGCCACTTCCGTTTCCATTTACATTAACGTTTCCGTTTCCGGTGTTGCCGCTGGGATTGGTAGGAACATTTGTGGGTGGCGGTGCGTTCGGCATGCCGCCATTGTGCTGCAATGCCCGCCAATTGGCCGACGAATCGATGATCACCTCGTCCACATCCGAGTTGCCCAGCGTGTTGAGTATGGCCCAGATATACTGATCGATCTCCAGGGTATCGGTGATGGCCGACTTGCTGCACTCCGGGCAGCGCCACGATCCCCGTTCGCTGTTGATCATCAGATACGCCTCCAAATCGAAGCACTGCACATGCTTGCACTCGTGTCCCCTGGCCGGAAGTCGTATCCGCGACTTCGTGATGGGGCACTTCAATGAGATCTTGGCGCACTGCTGCCCACCGCCCTGCTGGCCGCCCTGTTGGGGCGTGGCCTCCGATCCGGGATTCGTCTCCGGTTGGCTCAGATTGCGCTTGATCTTCTGCACACTGTGCTCCAGCGGCAGCAAGTTGCGCTTGTGCAGCGTCTGCAGCACCTGCCGCACCGACGGTCGATGGACAAGCTGCAGCACAAACAGGTGCGACTACAAGAAATAGAGGTAAAGGATTTGGATTAATAAAAGGAATAGGTATTTGGGGGACTTAAATAAATTAACATTAGGTTTCAAAAAAGCAATCAATAGACAGTATTTCTCAGTTTCAATATCATTATGTTATTTTAAAGTGCGCATTTTAAACACCAATATTTAATTTGGTCTTTAAAACATTTCAACCTTGATTTGAATGATATGAGCAACAGATTGTTTTCATTTATAGCTTATGCTTCAATCATTTTTATTAGAATTAAATTTTAATAGTTTAGAAATAATTGTATATAATTTTTATATATATAATTTTTATATATTTAATTTAATATATATTCTTAATCTAGGAAATACTTACACAACAGCAGGAACTGGCGGTCAGCTGTAGCGTATTCCGTCCCGGCTGGCAAACAGCCTTCAAGTAGAGCGGACGCAGGGCGGTGCTGTTCTTCTCGGACCGCTCGATATTCAGGGGCGTGGCATTCGCGGAGACGGTGACGGTGTGCGGCCAATTAGTGTTCATCTGCCGATCATCCTGGTGGAAGCACTTCAGCTGCAGCTCCAAGTCGGTTCTGGGAATTATTTATAAATTATAAAGTGAGTTAAAAATTATAACAAAAGCCTATTTATCGAGACCTACCTGTACATCAGCGTGTTGTAGACATTCTGCTTGAGATGGAACACGTGGTTGCTGACCGATAGATTGTGCAGCAGGCGGAAAGGAGCCAGGATGATGCCGTCGCGCACCGGGAATGTCAGTCTCATTTCTTCGCCTAAAAAATAAATACAAAATATATTAAATAAATATTTTAAAGTAAGAAAATTATAATAAAACTTACTGTTGTCCATGGGTGGCTTGATGTCCGGATTGGGGCTGACATAGGGCACACTGCAGGCGGGCGTCAGCGGTGGCGTGGGATTGCCAGGAACTGGACTGTGCTGATAGTTTTGCTGGAAACTAAGGACGAGAAAATATATTATCAACTGATCGATAAAGGATATTACTCTATAGAAAACTCACCCTTGATTCTGGTAGGGATTGCCGGTGGTGGCCACGCTGCCCGGACCCGCCGGGCACATGCCACCTGCCTGCTGCATTGCGGCACTCTGGCCGCTTCCCGGATAGAACTGGCTCTGATGCGAGCCGGCACCTGCGACGCCGGCGTAGGGCATTCCGCCGCCGGATCCTTGGGGCATGAAGCGCTGCTGGCTCATGCAACCGGGTCCGGGACCCATTCCTCCGCCGGTCATGGCCCCCGGACCCATGGGTCCCATTACGGGTCCACCAGTTGGTCCAATTCCATTCCCGGCAGACATACGGCCATAGCCGCCATTGCCGGCGGCCATGGGTCCACTGCGTCCGTAACCATTTCCGGCTCCACCTGCCTGCATGGGCAGGGGAACTCCTCCGCCGGATCCGGGATGCATCTGTTGGGTGCCGTACATCTGCGCCTGTTGCTGCGCCTGCATGGGATTGCCCGGATACATGCCACCCACTCCGCCTGCTCCGCCCACTCCGCCCCCCGCCCGCTTTTGGGCCATGTGCATCTGGGGGTGGGGATACGGAGCCATCCGGCGCTGCTGTTGCTGCTGTTGTTGTTGCTGCTGCTGCTGCTGGGAGAGGGAGGGGGGCGCCTGCTGGGGGTAGCCCCCATTGGCCATGCCCTGCATCTTGGCCATCGGATTCATGCCGCCCATCTGCTGCTGCGCCGCCGCCTGTTGCTGCAGGGGATTCATGCCGCCGCCCATGGCGCCACTTCCTCCGACTCCCGGGCCCATGGTCATATTCTGCATCTGGTTCATTGGCGTCATCTGAGGGGATGAAAATCAATTATTAATGGGGGTTTTTATTGGAAACATCTAGGAATTCCCAAGCCAGCATTTAGTATTGCTACCCTATCCTTATCTTTTTAATTACTGGACTTTGCCTTGTTTTTGCACTTCAAACATTGAAAGTGTATGTGCAATATATTATGAAAATCAGACGAATCAATTTTAAATTACTTAATTAATTAATAAAACTGAATAATTTATTTTATCTAAAAATATAAAAGGCATTTAATATTTATCATACAAATTATAAATATAATCAAACTTGCCTAGATTTAAAAACAAAAAAAGTTATATATAATAATGCCCAATGAGGATAAATTCCCACTTCAAAGTCGTGGGACTTCTATGGTATTAGTTAACATAAGTCTCTCTGCCTCGCATCCCTAATTAAGCGAAAAACTTTTTTGAACATTTATAGCTTTGTGAATTGGGGGACTGGGACAAATAATGCCACTGAGCTTGAGCGGATTACTGTCGTTTTGGCAGTCACAAATTTGTCATTTCCGAAGCCGCAGACTTCTGTTTTTGGGGGCGATTCGAATGATTCGTTAATGGGCGAACGTTTTAAAAGCGAAATCTGTTTACTGCCGCAAATGAATTGTCAACAGCTGGTCATATAAAAGTTGTGGATGGGAAAGGCAGTGAAGTCATTCCCGCAAACTCCAAAAATATATATGTAGCTGCACTGGTGCTCACCTGATGATGCCTCTGGGGTCCGATGTTGCCACCTCCGCCGTAGCCCATTCCCATGCCTTGGTTGCCATTGTAGCCACCTTGGCCGGAACCTCCGTTCATGTACTGGCCACTCATGTTGCCCATCATGCCACTATTGGGTCCAGGGTGCATGCCGCCACCCATCTGCAAGACAAAAAAAACATCATTACATCATTGCATTTCATTTAGCATTTAAAAAAAATTTTTTTTTGTTGAAATATATTTTGTTTTTTTTTTAATCATTTTGAACCTATGTTTTCTAATTGGTTTAGTTTTTGATTTATTTGATTTTTTGGAAAAATTTTAAAGGTTCGATTAATGTATTTTCTAAACTCCATTTAAATCTATATTTTAATCTATTTTTTGCCTATAATAAAGATAAGTACTCACCTGACTGTAACCGCCCATGGCGTCCATGCTGCCCATGTGTTGCTGTTGCTGTTGGTGGTGCTGTTGCTGGTGGTGTTGCTGCTGCTGCTGGTGTTGCTGGCTAGCAGCAACCATGCCCGTGTATCCCTGTCCGCTGGAGTTGCTCAGTCCGCTCAGCGCCGAGGTCGAGGAGCTGGTGGCGCCTCCGAGGGCCGTGAACTCCGAATTGGGGCCGAAGGTATTGTTCAGGCTACGCAGGCTGTCGCCGCCGACAAGGTCATTGCCCAGCATAAAGTTGCCACCGCCGCCCACTCCGCCGCCAACCGATCGCTGGTGTTGCTGCTGCTGCTGTTGCTGTTGCTGCTGTTGCTGGTAGGCCAGGAAATTGTCGCGCTGATGTTGCTGCTGGTACTGTTGCTGTTGCTGCTGCTGGTTGTAGTATTGCTGCTGCTGCTGCAACTGTTGCTGCTGATCCACGCCGACTGTTGTGGCACCTGGCGGTGAGATTTGGCCCCCGGTGGCTGGCGCCCTTGAGGAGCCCGCCTGCTGGTTCATTTCATCATTTTTCCTGGAAGATTCGTAAAAGAGGTAAAGCCACGAATTAGTTGGGGTCCTGATGGTAAAAACGTAGCTGCGCGTCTCTATATAATAAACGGGCCAAGTCCATTCCGTCACTCTATAAGACATGTTTCTCAGTCAACTTTCGAATTGAGCAGAAAAAGTTCAAAATCAATCAAGTACTAGACAATTTTGGCTAAAAATTGAATGTCCCGAGAAAACAAACAGGGCACTAAGTCCCATGCCTACTTTTCTGACATACTTTATAATGTTACTTATTTTAAGTTCAATAAATTATTCAATTTTTTGAGTGTGCTTCACAAGGTAAATGTTTTCCCAATTCTTTAAAAATATTATACAAGTAATTTTTCTTTAAAACTTTTGTAGATATGGTTCGTTTTCGTTAGGTTCCTAAAACATTGTATTTAATTTTTTTTTTCGCAATATTTTATTTATTTTTTGACACTTTTCTTATCGCCAGTCTTAGTCACATTTATTGTCTTGAAATATTTCAATTCGCTCAGTTTTTAAAATTGTTCTCTTATATTTTTTCGATTCTTATAGAATTTTTACCACGAATTGAGTTAAGTTAAAATTTATTTATTATTTTCTTATCTTGCGAATTGGTTAGTCACATCGAACAATTGAGAATTGCTTCTGATTTAAGTTGCTCTCTGCTGCTCGAATCATTATTCGACCTCCATGGATGATGTCAGCCTAAGGCAGCTTATGTTCGTGATTTTACCCCAGTATCCGCAGCACCCATCCATCCGTCCATCCGTCCACCCAATGCCCGTTCCTAACACCGCTCATAACCCCCCTGCCCGCCTTTTCCTACCACCCAGCCATATCTCCATCATCGTCATTGTCAACGTCATTCATTGTACTGTACTGTACTGCGGCTGTGTGGCAATTGCAATTGCATTTTCCATCTTCTCCGTTGCCTGTATTTCCCATTGCACTTGTTTCCCCTCGATTTGCTGTGACATTTAAGCCCGAAAATGTCAAATGGGCTCAGGGCTTAGGTTTGTTTTGCCCCCGACATCGCTCCCTTCAATTGTTTCATTCCATACATTGAAATTGTTTTCGCATTCGCTTTGATGGCGCGACTTTTAAGGTAAAAATAATTAAACATATTTGCCAGGCAGACAATAACAATATGAAGCATATGAACGCAGTGCGAATGCGAAGCAGAAAACACATAAAAGTGAAACAAGAGTAAAGAGTCGAAGATGGTAATACTCTATGTAACTAACAAATTAATTTAGAAAAATGTATCTTAACCAAGGTCTTTTTCAAAATTGAGTTGATATATCAACAGGGCGTATACGTAATTTCTCGTAATCATTAATATGTATAAAATGTATTTCAGTAATATATTTTTAAAATTCATTATCAGCTTAATGAGAATTATTTATTGCGAATTCCCAAAGATTCCTATGAGTAATTTAGTGATTTTCAAGGTTTCAAGAACATTTTGAAAAGAACAAATATAATGAAATATAAGACCGTTAAGGTATAAATTAAAGAAAAAAAGGAATACAAATTATTTATTAATATTTAAATTAGTTCTTTTCACAATAAGCATCTTTTATAGAGTAGAATTCTAAGCTTAACAACAGAAAAAGTCGCACGTTAAAAATATAAAGTAACACGCTCACAATAATTGCGCATCTACAAAAGCAGCTCAACGTAAACACCGCCAGCAACAACACAACACAAAAGCAAATAAAGTTGGGAACAAATAAAAATAAATAAAAATCCAACAAAAAAACGTAACAAAACGTAACACAAAGGCAACAACAACAAATGCAGCAGCGAGCGAAATGCAAATAAATGGCACACTAAGCGATTGGCTGATAATCGCATGACGAAAAGCCCGAGCCGGCAAAGTCTACAAAGATCACTGGAGAGTCGCGCGGAAGGGGAGAATTGGCCGGCAGCGGGAGAATCGAGTGGGGCGGGGGGTGGAGAATTGGTGGTGGAACTGAACCTGTGATTGCCGCGAGACTGTGACGATAAATTAGCATCGAGCAGCTAGCAATTTCCAAGTGCAAAAACAGAGTGGAGAGGTAAACAGAGCAAAGCGGGTCATTAGGTCGAATGGTGGAGAAAGAGAGGGAAAGAGATACACAGAGAGAAAAGAATGTAGGTACAGTAAAAATTGAAAATTGCGCGGTATTAAAATGGAACCACTGGACCGAATAAAATGCATTAAAACACTGAAATTATACTCGTAGTTTAAACTTAAACTTAACTAATCTTATTTTATTTTATTCATTCTACTAATCAGTCATATTTAAATGGATATAATTACTGGACCAAATTGATTGGATTATATTAGATTTTGGACTGCTGAACTAAACTCCGTAAGCTTGGGGTTTCTAAATTCCAAACTCAAAGTCCAAAAGTGAAAAATCACTGCCAAAAAGTGTGCTATGTAATTACAATTAAAAGACTGCCAAATTGAGGCAAATTAAGTGCTACAATCACAAATAACAAAATTAGTCACAGTGTCTTATCAAAAATATGACCTTCGTTAAGTACAGAGATAAAGTACCAAAAATTATGAAAAAAAGAAGTCGAGATGCGACAGACCTCGAAATTCTAGTAAAGTGGCAAAGATATTGGGGAATGGAGAATTCTAATGAGCAAACAACAAAGTTGTGCACTTGCGATCATATAATCGTCTCATTATGTGACTTGCACTGGAAAAAACAGGGTGTTTCGGGGGCCTTAAGAGGGGAGAAGTAGGCGATCTCTGGTGACGCTTTGCTTTGTTTCAGTTTTCAGTTCGAGTCGCGTTCACGTTGTTGCTGCCTTTTGTACTTTGATTAGATATAAATTTCTTCATTGATTAGATAAAAATAAAGCAAAACAGGTAACTCACAGGCGAGTGAGATAGATAGACAAAAGTGGGGAAGGGAGACAGGGAGATACGATCAAAGTTTGGAACCACTAAAATTCAGTTCAGAGGCCATCAAAAACACGTGCTCAAAGATATAGCTTCATATCGAAATCGGTGCACGATCTCTGGCCTTCTCCCTCCGATCTTCTCTTCGATTCTCTCGCCATTAGTTTGCTTGTGTAATTGTAAATTGTGCGCACTTTGATTTGCTGTGGTAATAAAAATTATTTCTCATTTGGCACACGAAATGATTTCCGTATGTCAACAGACAGGGGCGTCGTTAAAGGTTTTTACCCGGGGGCTATGTTTTAACATTTTTTATTTGTATATTTTTTTTTGTGCAATTTCTTTGACTATATTTTCACAATTTATGGCCATGGCTCCCGGCGATATGAATTATGTTCCAGACGGCAATGCGACATTCGGGATGGGTTAGACATCCTTTTGGAGGACATGTCTGGTAAACTTTATTACGCTGCTGAGGCAGAACAATCCCTCAAAAACAAAAATCAAACTTTTTCTTCTATTTTTATTGTTATTGTTGTTTGCGTGTTTTTTGTTCGATTTGCCTTTGCGTTTTTGTTTTTTCGTATTTCACAGACGACAGTTGGCGTCATGTAACAAAACAAGTAATATATACAATATACATATATGTGTGCGTTTTAGAGGCCATGAAAAATTGTGAGACACGTGCGTGGAGCCAATGACAGAACGAAATGTTTGAAATAAGTTTTCCCACCGGAGTGGGAGGTTTCAATCATATATTGTTGTCAGAGCTGCTTCTTTTTGACACACAACCGAAAAGATTGAGTTTCTCAAACTGATTTTGGCATTTAAAAATCTGTATACATGACAAAAGGAATCGATCTTGGGCCTCCTTAATATTTTGGATGCTCAAACAACAACTTTTGAATATAATATTTAATATTCTTTTAATACTTTTCTAAATTCGGTTCAAAGTCATACAAAAATATTTCAAAAATTATTATTGTTCTGGCAAAACCAATAAAACGTCAAAAATGTATGATTTGCTCTCTTTTCCGTTTCTGCCACTTCGGACCCATCAGTCACTCAAACTCCCATATTTGCGCCTTATTGTTTCGCTGCAGTTGCCCACCTCCCACCGCTGAAATGCGTTTGACAGTTGTTTTTCAAGGGTGTTTGAAACTGAACCACCGCACCACCGAAACCACCCACTGCTGGCTGCACTTTTCGCATACGAAATATAGAAGGAAAAAGAAAACAAAGAACATTTTTTTCGACATTTTCTTCCACTCTTTCCAGTCCAATTTTGAGTTGGCAGTTGTCGTCTGTCCGCTTTTTTTTGCCCCTGACTGTGTTGTGAATTCATTTTTTCCATATTGCCCTGTCAAGGGAGGTTGTGTATGGGTTTTTCGTCATGATTTTTTTTTTCAAGTGGCAAAGGATGGTAATAATTTTTTGTACGCCGCTTAGTTTCAGGACTTTGTATGCCATTCGAATTCGGACGGCGCCTGTTGGTATGCAACACTTTTTGTCGCCTTAAGCTCACTGGGAAAATTCTTTGAGCCACCCATCTCCCCACCCCTTTTCGATTGAATTTCCCGCAGAGTTTTCCTTTCCCGCTTCGATCGCTTTCATAATTCATCTGCCTAGCATAAATTGCAATCAGAATGAAAATAAAAATAAATCAGCATAATAGACTCGAGCCCAGAAAACAAAGCAATGAAGAAAAAAAAAGCAACCACCAGGAGCAGGCAGGAGCAACCCTCCGCTCGAGTGGTTTTTTGGTCTGGGGGTGGTGGGGTGAACATAATAAAAATCGAACTGTAAACAGAAAAAAATAAAAAAATAAAGGCGAAGAAAAAGCTGCGGCAAAAAAGCGAAGAGAAATCGCACAATTTTTGATTAAAAATCCAATGCAAATAATACAGATGGTCAGCAGGCGGATTGTGGTGGTGATTTCCGAGGAATGAGCGATGGGGGTTGGCAGATTTTTGAATATGTGCAAAAACATATTCAGCACTCAGTCCCCTTTTTGTTTCGCCGACAAAATGTTTGCCTCCAACTTTGTGCTCGGTTTGCATTTTGCGGATTTGCAAATTCATTTTTATAAATGTTTT